CATTTTGAATTAAAGTTGTCTTATCCTTATTGACGCATGGTCTAGAGTTACGTTAAGCTCGACCTTGGGTTCGAATCCTGGGGAAACGATAAATTGTTTCCGTAAGGCAGGGCACAGAATTTGATCAACTACTTACTTACCGGTAAATAAAATATATTAGATGTTTTCGTCCCATGCCCGTGAGGGAGAAACGGGGACTCACATTTATACTAGTATACGTCACTAGTAGTTAACGATGTTTTGTATGACGTTATTCTTAACACATTCGAGTTCTTCAAACTGTACCATCTGTCAAACAGTAAACAAACACGCCTTTGATGTTTTACTCGTTTGCAAAAGTAATGAAAATTAAAATGCGAAGTCTTTATAAAACATTTAATTTTATTGATAAAGTTCTTAACATCGAAAAATAAGCCGATAAGTATGTTACGAACTTTTCTAAAATGATTTGGCGCAAAGGTTTAAAAAAAAAGGAATGTATGGAGCTATGGATTCTAAATACCCGTAAAGGCAAAAACTAAACCACCCGGACGCATCTAATAAATTTAAAAATGTATTAGATGTTAGAAATTTATTAATTTCAATTCAAGTTCAATTAGAAATAAGTCCTCATGCGGGTCAAACGTTCAATTCAATTAATTGTTACAAAGTGAATTTAGCTCTATAGGGTTGTCAAACGCCTAAAATGCAGTTTTCAGGACTGTTTCTTTCTAATAGAATCATAAATATAAATCCGAAAACAATTTTGATTTTTGGTCCAAGTCAAATATATTCATCGGTTTTAGATTCAACCTTCGATCGAAGCCGAACAAAAAAGTAGGACACTTTTACTTCTAATTGGATTAACATGATGTCAAATATCGTTTATAGTTTACGCGAGTAGTGTTACATTAGCGCCATCTAGCGATTTTAACATTGACATTATTGATTTTAACATTGACATGGGACTGGGACTGAAGATAGATGATGGGACATGATCTATCTTCAGTCCCTTCGTGACCACGGCGGCGGACACCTATCCGAATAGTCAAAAAATTAATAAACTATTATATTTCTAGTTTTAAACCGTTAAAAGTGTAAAATGTAAGTAGAATGATAGCGCAACAGCTCATTTGGCTTCCGTTGCACTGGGAATTACAAAAAGTGTAAGATACACTGATTTCGTTTACATTTGTCGTGGTCGTACCACCATGTGTACTAGGAACCATCAGCCAATTTTGATTATATTACTAAGAAGTTCTTGCTAGGAAATAGTACTAACGCGAAGTAGAAACTACATCCCTCGGAATAAGTGAATAAGCCCGCAGTAGAAATGAAATAGGGCGATGAAATAGATTCAGATTTAAGTGCGGACAGACAAACGTTCTCGGCTAATTTGACGTAATTGTATGCAGCGGGCAGAGCTCGTGTAAATTCAATTTGCTGCGGGTCTTCTGTCGCTCGTCTAGACGGGAAAACTCTCAAGAAAATCTACCACTGTTTCACTCGTTTCATGCAAATCGAAACGATGAAAATACAAACGGGACTTACAATTATGTGGGTCACACAGCACACTAGTCGCATATTCTACGCATATTTTTTTGTCTGTTTATTTGCATCCTTGGTCCTTGCGTGGGTTCAATGCCCACCGGACATTCTTTCATATTTATTTTTCAAAAAAAAACATCCAGTCTGGTTCGAATTGAAAAATTACTTTTTTTGTTGGTGAGAGCATTTATCGAGGACGGCAATAGGCTATAAAATATTTTGCTGTGACGAAAGAGCAAAGAAACAGCGGGAAATGTGGAAAAACGGGAAATATCAATCTTTGTTAGTTTCCGATGCGTACGCTGCGAAAACTTTTCAAGATATACGCAAAAAATATGTACGAAAAACATTATTCCACTTTAATATTGTTTAAAAAATGACCGAGATGTATCTTTTAAGAACTACGAGACGCAACCGACGTCGTAGGAAGCATTTTTAAATTATAAAGATGTCGAGGACCTCCTCGACTCGAATCCACGCCCAAAACATATATTTTACGAGGACGAAGTCGATGAAACAGCTAGTTATTAATATATAACTAGTATCCAACTCTTTATTAATAGTATAAAATATTATTACACTATGACTGAATGTAACTTCAATGCCATTGTTAGTAATGGGACGCTATTTGTCCTACGGTCGTGCCTGTAGAACTACATTCTCATAAAGTGATCCCCGAAAAAGGCAAATGTAGCGGTTAAAAGCAAAAATGCGGGCACATTAAGAGACAATCACAATTATTATGGGCCATTGAACTTTTACTTTCGTCGCGGCAAATGATAGAAACATGTTCGGAGAACAATGGGGAAATGTTAATGATTCGTACTCGAAATCGTTTCTTTTCACGTAAGAAATCTTTTTACAGCCGAGGAATAGACGAATATTTTAGAAACGGTGCAGGCTCAATCCTTTGAAAACTCTTTGAAATAGAATGATACCTTAATTTTTAACAAAGCATTAGCTTAACACGGATTTTTATTAAAAGTTGTAATGGAGGACAGACAAGTATGGGAGTCACTTGATGGTAGGTGATATACATATACCCACCCCGGCCTATCACATCTAAACAAGATGCGCGGTCGACCTATTTCGGCTTTAGATATTCGGACTGAAACCGAAACACGATTAAGCTCCGCGGCTTTTCCATCTGTGGACGGTGGTTCGTTACCCGTGCGGAATTTATATATTCCTATAGTTTACGCGAGTAGTACACATTTAAATAAAACACTTTAACGGTTTAAAACGCGATATATTAGTTAAACTTATTTTTACTTTGACGTCAGAGACATCCTCCATCTTTAGTCTCCCCGTGACCACGGCTGCTGCAAAGCATCCGAAACGTCGGGCCGAAGTTAAAAATCATTTTCTAATAAGTTTAACTAATATATCGCGTTTTAAACCGTTAAAGTGTTTTATTTAAATAATACAAACCTATATAAGGAACTACAACGCTAGAGCTTATCAATATTTTCCCAAGAGTTATTATGGCAAAAACTTTAAATCATATTTATTACATATTATTGTATGTTGTTTACGCTAGTTACGTATTATGTATAGTATGTATGTATAGTAGTATTATGGTCCGACGACGGTTCGGCTTTGCAGTAGCTATGGTCACGGGGGACTTAAAAGTCTAGCCGTAGCTCAAATTAACTAAATATAAGTTAACTAATATATTTTATGTTTTAAATAGTTCAAAAGCATATTTATTGCCATTTTGGAAAGATACCCAGAAAGAAATTGATACCGCAATTATGATGTAGTTTTTTTTACCAAAAGTAATTATTTATAAAATTATAAGTTATACAGTAGTGTTAGCAAATAGCAATGTAGTAACAAATAATCAAACTTGAATAATTTCGTTCTTATTGTAATTTGTGTAGTGCTTAATGTTAGTTTTAGTGAGTCTCTTTCGTTCTCTTGAAAAGGAGACTTAATTTTTACACTTTATTTGCTGACTGTACTTTCTGCCGGCAATTTGTAACGGGAGCACTTTGTTGAGCTAATTAGTAATTACACTAGCTGACGGACACACTTGTTTTAGTATTTTTAGCAGTAGCATGAGAACTTCAACAGTGAGCTCTGAAAAAATATTTAAATGCGGCTCTCCGTATACATCTCTTATAACAAAATTTAACCGAATTTATAAAAAATCCTAGGAAAGACATCTAATTATAAATGTGTTTAGCAAATCTATTACAGTTACTAAAAAAGGGCTATAACTCCAATCCATGCATACTTTACGCATTTAACAAATAAAATAAGTTGTTCACTACGCATCTTATATAAAAGAAAATCACACAAAACTCACCGGTATATCTAAGCAAGACCAATCAGAAACGCGTCACCTAATTTTGACAGATGGTGCACTTGGCTCGAATACAACGCACGAAGAATAATACGATACAAAACACGGCCGACTACCGGGCATTACGCCTAATTCATTAATTTTACACACAACGCATTAACGCAATTAAGACCCTAATCGTATAATTATTAGAGCTTATTGTCGCGTAAGAGCCCTGCATTAACTAAATTTGCGCAAAATGATTGTAGTGTGCGTAGGGTTGTCATAGAAACTATAACAGCGTGCGCGCGCATCGTTTACGCACACCCCAAGATCCCCTTACAGTGTAAGTGAGACGGTTTTTGTACAGGTGCCAGAAAAAGTGTTTAATATCCTTTTTCTGTACAGTTCAAAATAATGTTACTCATTTTTTGGCAAGATTTAAGGTATTTCTTTGAACAATATGAATAAAAAAAATGAATTTATTGTAAATATATGTATCCACTGTAAATACTGTCTCATCGCGAGTAGTGCACAATTAAATAAAACACTTTAAGGGTTTAAAACGCGAAATATATTTATAAATTACTTTCAGCCGGTTGTCGGGCGTAGTTAAAATAATTTTTAAATAAGTAACTAATATGTTTCGCGTTTTAAACCGTTAGTGTTTTATTTAAGTATCGATATTTCATTAATAATCGATTATACGAGTCGATTCATCATAGAATTTCTTCAACCCCTGCATATATGCCCCTTTCGTAAAATGTAATTTCAACCTTAAGATATGTTGAAGTATTTGATCTTTACCTTTACTTCCCAAAAAGATGTTTATCAAATCTACCTTATAAATAATAATATAGAGTTCATTTTACGACATAGAATATATTATTTAACCACACGTTCAGTGTTACGTTTAACTGTAATGAGGCGTCATTAAATAGTGTTTTTGTTCAATAAGCAATCGTCTCACTTGACACTCCCATTACATCCTTATAAATAAACATACACAATATCACTTGTCTGCTCGCCTGTACCTCGCTCACAGCGTAACCAATACGTGAACGCCACTTATCTGTGTGTGGGTGTTTTATACCACAGATTCTGCGCCATGGACGCCAGTATTCTCGCAACCATGGACAAAGAGGCACTGAAAAAGCAGATAGAGAACATGAAATACCAGGCCTCCATGGAACGCTGGCCGCTATCGAAAAGCATTGCTGCGTGAGTAATTAAACCTTTTTTGAGAATTTTAATAGTGAGGTGATGTAATTTGTGCTATATAGGCCCAATCGGGCGGGAGTGGTTCGCGAGTGCGGTCGATTTGAGTGCTTATTTCCAGCGCGGTACGGTCGAAATTCGAGCCGGGGCGCGCTGTTCTGATTTTTGCAGGGAACGGCTTTTCGTAAGGACTCGCTTTTGTGTTTTCATGTCTGTTTCTCGCGGTGTGAGTAATTTTCCGGTATCGCTTTCAGTATTTCAGCCTTTAGATACGATCGAATCCACACCCTAACTCATTATTATATCTAAACAGTACAGACATACATATTATGCTACAAGAGATTTTAAAATGAATGGTAATGATTTTATCTCATTTTCTCTTATCTAATATCTATCGTTAAGCGACGTTTAAATTTAAAATTAGTGACGTATGATTCGCCTATAAAAACACGAAGCAAAAACCGAATAGGAAAAAATCACAGTTAAGAGCTATATTTATTCGTTGTAAATTATAGATGGAACGTATATAGCGCTAGTTGCATATTTACATATATATTGCATAAGGGAAGGGTGTATTTCGCATACCACCACTTACAAGAGAGTTGATGAACTGAAAAGCATACTTGAGCCTCGTAACATCTGCTAACTCCCTCAAAATATGCATTATGTTTCTAGCTTCTGTTTCGTATTTGAATATGTTACGCCCTAAATATAAATTATAGTTAATATAATAAGTAGCACCAATGTTGTGTGATTCGATGCTAGATATTTGATGTAAGCTAATTAGGATCATATTTTCAGAGACAAGTTAACTAATACAAGTGTAATCAAACACATTTTACGGCTTAAAACGCCAAAAATACTCATAAATGTATTTTAAATACGACGCCCGACGTTTTGCATGATTATCTATACGAATATTATAAAGCTGAAAGGTTGTGTGTTTGTTCGTTTGAACGCGCTAATCTCGGGACCTAAGAATAGGTCAAAATTTTTCTTGGTCTATTCAACCCATTATCTTGTGTTGAATAGACCGTTCATCGATAAAGGCTTATTATAACAACGCTGCGAATAATTGGACCTAATAAATAGTGGAAAATGTGGAAAAAAAAAACTATTCGTTTCAAAAAAAAAAATCAAAAAAAAAAAATGTATGTGTATGAAAGAAATATTTTTCTTTAAATTAAAAAAAATATATATCCACACAGGTAGGTATCTTTTAAGATAACTTGCAAGAACGACGTAAACAGCTATTTATTTGTTATTTCGCTCTCTAAACCGTTAAAATTGTTCTATGTAAATGTGGACTATTTCAACAAAAATATACTCAATACAAACTGTGTTTATCTATATATAACTTAAAATCCACTCAGTTCGTACTTCACCAAATAGTTACATAGTCGTAGGCAAAAGTGGTGGATCCCAAGACGATTTCATACGATTTAGTGACGTATACAATACCGCGAGATTGTAAACTATGTAACGAGTTTATAAACTATCGACATCGTTACGAAACATATTTTGTTGATTGTTCGGTCTAATAAAGCAGTGTTCTTATCAGACATATGTGGATGTTCAGGGTAAAGGTAGTGTCACACTGTTCTTGTCTTCGTATAAGCGCTGTTTTTTTTTATTTTTATAACAGCCTACATTTTACAACTGACCTATAAATGGAATAAAATGAAATACTCAAAACATTTAATTCAAACTATGTGCCCTACCACATAATATTGTCGCCCCCACGACAATTTTCCTACTCATGTAGGGGGAGGGAGGATTTCACGATGAATTACATATGTAAATCTAAGATGTGTATTAAGTTTTGTCTTTAGTTTACGTAAGCAGTACACATTGTACACATTTATGACGTTAACCGTTTAAAACGCGAAATGTATTAGTAAACTTATTTATAATATTCAAATGTATGTCACCATTTGTGCAAATTTCACAAACAAATACAATAATCCGTCATAATAACAAATGGTTCAAATAAGCGCACTATACATAACCTCAAACATTACTCAAGACAGATTATAAGGGATGGACATAATGTTGGACACATATATATAATCGAGTGATAACTTACCGCTCCATCACCACAGTATAAGCTGAAGAGTGGGTATGCAAAAAAATGCCGCCCAGAATAACTATTCTAAGCGGATGAAGTCACTGACACAGCTAAAATAAAAAAAAATATATTATATTTACGTACGTGTTTATACATTCATCTATATTATAATAAAGCATTTCTATTTGTCTGTACATTTATCAAAAAATTAAAACAAAACCAAAAACATTTTTAAATCAATCCTTTAATTGAAACTTTTTCTGAAAATTACAAATTTCATCGGGAAAATCCTAATAATAAAAAGGGTGCTATGAATATAAAAATTTAGCTCTGACATAAAATTTACTTTCTAAGACTCATCTTGAATTTTTTGCTCTATTGAAATCAAGTTTCCACTGCGATTGACAAATTGCATATCACACAAAAATGATGACACCTGTACGAAAAAATTGTTTGTAAATAAAACAGTTTAAATAGTCTTTAACACTTTCTTATTTTAAACTATGACCCGACGTTTCACATGCATGTAGCAGACCTTTAAAGGTGTTTTCTAGTACAACACGTTACATCTTCGAAAAAACATATCCACCCATTGGGCTAACGTGGTGCTCTCATAAAAGATAAGAGAACATAATTTCGTTAAAACTAAGTTAAGAATGTATATGATACATATTCCTCTGTTTCAAACCCGACGAAGGCCCCGACAACTATAAAAACATTATACGTAGGTACGTATTATTGACATAAACACGGAAACGCGCGCTAATTACAATTATAATGACACATTATCGAATAATTACGTTTTCCCGTTAGACATGTAATCGTATAATTGAATTAATTACTTTTTCATAACCGAGAGTTGTCAGTGAACGCAGTTCATTTACTTTACCTGACTATACAATATCGCGGGTACGCAATCGATAAATGGAACAGTATGGCTAAGAATCCCGCCAGTGCCGTCAATATTTTTCAGTCAAAATAGATTTCTAAATATTTTTTTTCTAAAATATGTTACACTTCTTCTGGAAGGTCTGGATAATTAATGGGAGGGAGAAATATCTAAATTCCGTTAAGATTACGTCTGCTCATTTTGTTAAGATAATATACGGTTGGAGTATTTTATGGTCTGTCATAAGAAAAGTGCATATAATTAATTAACTTTAATATTATATTATATTTATTGTTCATAAAATAATTACAGTGCGTTATTTTTGATTACAGCCATCGCCAACTTTTGATAAGTTTAATATCTCTCTACTCGGTACTAAATAATAAAAGAATCCAGTCCCATTTTTGCATATATATAATTTAATATGCGAGATAAACAACAGTTAACGAGGCTTAGACATATTGATTATATATTTTTATCGCTTCGTTTACCGTGCCGACGCACAGAGGTATAAATGTATACCGTGTTGTGGTTTAGTGCACAATAATATTGAACACACAGAAGTGTGTTAAATACATTTTTACTCTGCTTTTTTATGCTAGAGGACAGGCGAGCGTGGCGTTCACTTCAATCTTGTAATATTTAACACGATGCGCTGTTTCGTTATCTTGCCTTTCGATATTTAGAATTATGAAGACTGAAACTTATATGTTGACGGTGGTTCGTGGTCCGGGAGGAATTTCGATATTTCTACCGCCCATTCAATATATAAATTTCCAGAAGGTGTCTAACATTTTTCAGGACTATTTTAAAAACATGTTACACCCGGTGAGGATCGAACCACCGGCTCTTTCATTATTAGGCAAACGTTGTTACCATTAGACCAACGAGTCCGCCAAAATATAATAATATTAGCCTTGGCCTTTTATAATAAGGAGTCATGAAAAAGTCATTCTGAAGCTGAAAAGCTCAGTTTGTGCCTGAGAACTCGCTGTTCGCGTCGCTAGACGCTACTATGCAAATCTTCAATTCTATTCATTTGTTTTAGTAGTCGCGACGGCGTTCGAATTGCGCGAATATTCGCAGGTGGTTTTTAATATCACGTATAAAGTAACGTGGAGAACGGCTAGTCCAATAGAACACTGAAAAGTTAAAAAATACGTCTTTCATTGACTGGGTCCCGTCTGTTGACATAAAAAGGATCTAATAAAAACACGTGCAAGTAGATAGAGAAAAATATTGCCTTATAAAACGTCCCTGTTTGTCTTCGAACTGAATAATTCATGGAATACTCAGCGGCAGAACGGAGCTTTTAATAAAATTACTTGATGTATCTAATTTCGTTTTATATATTTCGATTGTCAGTGTGGTCTGATTGTTATTTTTCCTTAGAACACAAACATTTGAATGAACTATATACGAATAAGGTATATTTATTCTCCCTCGTAAGACAAACAAAATTGGAATGATTATTTGTGTTTGAGGAATGTATGATTTGTTTATTGTTATTGGATTCATCCGTTTTAAATGTAATTTTATCTATTACTTTGGATTGACTGTTATTAAACTTTATATAGCATACCGTTTAAAGGAAGTTTTCATCTTATATTTGCGATGATTGTATACAGAAAATCTTAATAATAACTTGTGTTACCCTTTTACCCAGGTGGGATTCAAACCCGCTATTCGTACACCTATTACTTATTACTTAATCAGAGACTTTATACTGTACATTATTTGTATTAATGACTTAAGGTACAAAATAATGTCAAAAGGGGTAACGTGGAAGATATAATGAAAGATAGTAGAGAATGTTATCTAGTGATCCACCATTTTTATCTACGTTCACCCCGACTACTGGATATAAATTGGATTGAAGAGGCTTTGTAATACGATATGTTTTAAGACAATTAGTATAGTCTATACTTTGTAGTATAATTACAGACTTGTTTTTTTTTATTCTTTTCAACGTCACGGGAAGCGGATAATATAGAATTCTTGCCTTATTTATATTTATGCAAATTAATATGTAGTTTATTATTAAATATTTTAAGTTTCCTTTCCTAATACATTTGTAGAGTAAGATCTTTTAAATAAAACACTTTATCGGTTAAAACGCAGCCGTGGTCTGTGATGGAGACGGGTCTCCTCGTGATCACGACTGCTGCAAAGCCTTCGAAACGTCGGGCCGTAGTTAAAATAATTTTAACAAATATACATTGCGTTTTAAACCGATAAAGTGTTTTACTTAAATATTTACTACTCACGTAAACTACAGAGAGTGGGATCTGATTACGAAATTTCGAAGTATATGCGTCAAATTTGATGTTATATAACCTATTTTTTTATGATTAAATACATCCAGTTAAACACCTTTCTAGAAGATACGCGGGCAGATGTTGACATTTTCTATTATTGCTGCATTGATTTAGAAATGAATGAAGCAGTTAAAAGTATACTAATACGAAGATTCCAAAATATTGGAATTTCCAAGTAACAATCGCTTAGTAGAATTGATACAGCTAATAGAGTCGTCTTGTTTACAAAAATCTGAGAAGCACTTAGAACTACACTGGAAAAGATTTTATAAACAATTATTTCAATACAACGACATATTGTTTGTCTCGAGTTAAGATGTGATGGAATAAGAATTCGTTAGAGAAGAACGTTCTCATAGTTTTCACGTCCCGGGCTAAAAATTTACATTACTTCTCCATTTTTTTTCAGGTATTATTATGGATTCAATCCTCCAACATCGTTCTAATCACATTATAATTTCTCTGAAACATCTTCGTTTAAAAATCTAGATATTAAATGGGCGGTAGGAATATCACAACCATCGTCCACAGATATAAAAGCCCGGAACTTCATTTGTACTTCAGTTTCACTCTGTGGACTCTCGAATAAGTAAAGCTAAAATAGTTGGACAGCGCGTGTTGCTTAGATGTTATGTGGCTGAAGTACTTCACCTACCATCGAGTGAACCACGTGTTTCTCTTTCTCTGTCCTCCTCCATCACAATAAGATATTTCCTATCTCTGTCTCGCTAACAAATAACTCTCCTTTTGACATAGCCTAACCCGTAGTTGAATAACCTTTGGCCTAACTAAAATAGATAAATTAATGTATGACGTAAAATTGTTTACGTACAAGCCCAAACGAGTCGTGAAAAGGTACAGCGTAATAAAAGCGCCCTCCTGAGTTTAGTGACTTAACTGAGCCAAATAAGGGTTATTGCCCAGAGTTATAGTGTAGTAATAGATGATAATATCGCTTTTATGAAAAGCTGAATTTGAAATAGGCCTCTTCTTGTTATTTATTTAAGTAGTTTCTCTTTGAATTGATTTGAACTTTTCTTGGTTAAACAAAATTATCTATAATCAATTATATATAAAATAATTGAAGACCCGGCCCCACAACTTTTGTTGGATTTCGTAAAACCTCGAATCTTATTTTAAAAAGATGTACTTAAAATACTTCTACTTAATGTTGTCTACATATTTTACAATCGTATCTTACTTGTACATATATTAAAAACGTTTGCATTTGTTTCAGGATGCGGGAGTACGTAGAGGAAAACGAGAAGAACGATCCTCTCATACACGCCCCCGATAAGAAAAACAACCCTTGGGCCGAGAAAGGGAAGTGCATCATCATGTAAAACCACGTAAGCAATATAAGTAAAACCCAAAAAAAAATTCTAAACTATAATGTTTCGCTCGAATTCGATCTAGTCTGGTCAAGAGCTACTTTTCAACATCGGTGGCCCCGCAAGAATCACGTAGAAAACATTCCCTCACGAATGATCAAGAAAGTATATCTCAGAAACTGCCAGACAATATAAGGATATAGAGGTAGACATCGTCCGTCGGACATAGCCCTAACGATAAGTATCATTATTTTCACCGATTATCTAGTCCTCGATATGTAAAGAATGTACATTTTGACTGCGCGTACGCAAGGTACTTATGAGTGTTCTGTTAAAATTAAAATGGTTGTAAATACGTTAAAATTTTGTATTTCTAGAGATAGACGGCTCGGAAACGAATAGATGGAGCGAACGGTGTTAAGTCGTAGGAGTTTTGCGTTTCTTTTAGTTTAAAGGGAAGCCTGGAGACCGAAGGTCGGTCGGCGACGGAATCCGCTCGGTTCCACGCAAACACCAGCAACTTCCTCTATGAACATTTGCGTGCAATCGTTAAGGATTCCCGACGACGCCGACCGAGTGGGTCGGCGCCGAAGTCAACTTCGGACCCATTGAATTCTTCATCGGCACCACTTGAAACTTTGTCGGCGCGCTTTGAAGCAATCGTAATGTTGAATGTGGAGATTCATTGAGCTCGTGGATCTCCGCATTTAAATGATTCTATAGGTTAATCGCACATCACAACTTACCACGTATTGGCCGCATCACGGAATTAAAGTCGAGGAATTAAACTAGGGATCGTTAGATGCGGAATTAAATGAAATGTTAAAGTAGTGACGTTAAATATTAAACTTAAGATAATTCATTAAATGCGACTTAATCTGAGTCGGGTAAACTAAGCTGAGTTAGGATAATTTTTTATGAAGACAGGTACATTCCGCGGTGCCATTATTCTAGTGCGCTTCTACTATTAGCTTACTTCTTCCTCTATTCTATATTAATCTTACGGTCTATCGTTTACGTTCCGTTTCAGTGAGCCCCGGCATTAAATCTTAGAAGATAAATCGACTTTTAAATCTAGCACTCGATTAGATTAGTGTTAATTCCAAATTTAAATCGAAATAAATTAACCTAAGACACGCGTTTACCTAATCACTAAAACGAACTATCGTAGTTTCCAAGAACTTCTAAATTGTTAAGATAAATCGGATAGGCTCCTCTGTGGTCACAGCCGGAGTGGTCGGTGGTGATCGGGGGCCGGGAGCGGGTTTGAAGGAGTTCTATCCTAACTTCGAATAAATAGAGAGCATAAACGCACTGTAGGTGAATTAGATTAAAGTGTAACCTAAACTCGATAATTAATATTAAAATTACCTTTCCCTTATCATATCTAGACGTGAAATATGAAAAATCATTCTGGCTGTGAGTCCGTTTGTTTAGATGCTTTATCGTCATTAGTCAGAATTTGCTAATACCGACAATAAATATCGAATAACCTCATCCAGATATCAGACACTCGTGTGACCATTTCTTCATCTGCAAAGCGCTGTCCTTCATCTTAGTTATGTTTTGCATCATCTGTCCTCTGGCCCTGTATGGATAAGTTTAGTGGATTAGACGTAACGGTAGATTTAATCTTAATTAATGTAAGCGATCAAAGTTGTTTGTTAACTTATGCGATAAAATTTGCAATTCAGAGAATTAGCCTAGACATTAAAAGGGAGTATAATGCGTTCGTTTAAAATGTAGCCGATAAATTTAGATCGACGCGTGCTGCGTCTGCGCTGACAAAGTTTCTCGTTGGTCAATTTTGCCGCCGTCGTCGGTCTCGCGGCTTCCGAAGTCGTTTACGTTTGTTAGATGTTTAATTTATCGATACCAAAGATATTTATTTATTCAGCCGGGGTGGACCCATCACCGATATTCTAAATCGTATGAAGTTTTCGATTTCCATTCGACTTCAAGTAATGAATTACTCAACCGATAATTTTAATGGATTAATCAAATTAATAACTAGGTAAGGCGATATTGGAAATGATTTTTTTAGAATCAATAGGCTAAGGTATTGTATGTTATTAATATGTAATCAGTAATCACTGAAATAAATTGAAAAACTGAATTTGTTTGTTTTCTTCCGAACCCCATAGTCTAGCTTAGTTATTTAGTAAATGAAAACTGACCTTACGAGATCACAATTCGTTGGCAAAGCGTGTCAGTATTTTACAACTCGCAATTGGCTTTTTAAGTCAATCTGGTAAAGTTCCAATAGATATAAACGTAAGTATCCTCTGTAATTCATGCGAGTACACATTAAACTAACAACACTTAGTACACTAGTAACACTTTTAACAGTTTCAAAAGCGAAATATAACAACTTATTTACAATTTATTTTAACAGCCCGACGTTTCGTATGCTTTACAGCAGCCGTGGTTACACTGGCACTGTCAAAATAATTTATAAATATTTCGCGTCTTAAAGGTTTAAAAGTGTTTTCTTAAAATAAATTTAAAGTAACTTAAGGAATAAGTATACTCAGACATATTAAAACAAAAGAAAACACATGAAACACAAAATATACTATCCATAGTAATGGATATTATAACCTATGGCCCCAGCGAGTGTCACCGTCTTTCCAACTTAATTCACAGGCCTTTTAATGCATATAAAGTCGACCACGGCGTGGACTACAGCACTAAAGGCAATTTGTTAAACATATAAATTATATTCATTTTGTGCTGTGTCTAATTCAACCAAAGTTACATACAATTAGCGGATATAGTTGTTCAACATTCAATTAAGCCTAGTTCTAAGATCTGTATTGATTGTCTATTGAGACGGCTATTTCGAGTCGATTGATTTAGAGCTGTTCGTGTTTGAGAATTGAATCGTTACAGCTCAGCTTTTATAGCTATTCGTATACTTAAGTGTTTTAAAGTAGTTATAATTTTGAAAGTGGCTATATCTAATGTCAAAAAGAGTGTTTGAACGCGCTCATCCTAGATACAAACTGTATATGATAGACGAAGACAGACATACATGATCATTACAATAAGTTGCATTGTCGATCTATTTTGTCTATGGATACTCTAAAATCCATAGATTGAAATCGAAACGTGATCTTTCACAGCTTTTTCTTCAGAGGACGGCGGTTCGTGACCCGAACAGAATGCCTACCTACCTAATTTAAAATACAGATTTCCAGACGAAGTTTCAGAAAAAATATAAATTTGTGTGGGTCGAACCCACGACCCGTTGATTATTAATACTACTACTATACTATTGCTGCCATTATACTGACGAGCTCGACACAATTTCTAAAAGTTATATAATGGCATTTTGAAAATAGGCTCATACAGCGAATAAGAATAAAAAAATAAAATCTTGGTCTGCCTTGAGTTTCAAATCGCGATGACAGATAAAAGATAAAGAACCTTACTCTTTGTAAGGTTTTATAGAAACCAAAAAACAGGCACTAATTTCGGTTTACAAAATCCTAAGTACTTTGTACAGTAATAATAGAGACTATGTTTTTGTACAAATTAAATAACTAAACTGCAGAGTAGATAATATTAGATATATTCGGCTTACTCTTGATACAATTCGAAAACACCGCGGAATCCTCGAAAGCCTTCATATAGGCTTATCCGGGTTTACGAGGAGCAACGAGACGTAAAACGAAATAGGCGATATTTCATCAAAATATACTCCACTGGACTTTAATGTCTACCTTTGCCGCCATTTTGAATGTATATTACGTAATTATATTTTTATGTGTTTAAAGTTTTACCCACTAATAAATTTAAAAAATGTGTGTCACTACAAATTAGGATGTGCTGTCGATCTTTTTCACCTTTGTATATTTGCTTAAAAAGTCAAATAACAATTACTAATCTAACAATTAGTACTACAATTTAGCTTAAGTTACGTTTAAATACTGTCTATAGTTTACGCGAGTAGTACATATTTAAATAAAACACTTTAACGGTTTAAAACGCGATATATTAGTTAAACTTATTTGAAAAATTAATGATTTTTAACTTCGGCCCGACGTTTCGGATGCTTTGCAGCAGCCGTGGTCACGGGGAGACACCTCTCCCCGTGACCACGTCGGGCCGAAGTTAAAAATCATTTTCAAATAAGTTTAACTAATATATCGCGTTTTAAACCGTTAAAGTGTTTTATTTAAATTAAGTTACGTTTGTCAGTTTAACATGTAATTGACAGGGTCATTTAATTTCAAATTATTTTTTAGTATAGAGTAGAAATTCTAAATAACTTGACAGGAAGTCACCATGTTTAAAGGTAACTTGAAGTTAAAAAAACTTAAATAAAACTTTTAATATAACATTTATTAAATGATAAGCAATTGTGTATTTTATTTTTTAAATGTTGGTATCATCAATGAGTATTACTTATGCATAAAAAATAAGTCTACAATCTTTTAGTGTAACACAAACTCAAAGAAATCGCTCGAGATAAATTTTAGCAAAAAAGTTACCGATTGTATTATATTAATTAACTATTGCCCAGATTTCCTCTTTTAAAACTAAACGGTCTAATAATACTACGAAGTGCTTATTTTGCGCCTGTATCTTATATCTTATGTAGCACAGCACGATACATAATTGCTCATAAAATATTAAAGGCGCCGAAATTCTCACAATTATGCGCAACATAATTTATAAAATTCTGTACAACTCTTCAGGGCATCGTCGCTCTTAATCCAATGGCATAAGAACGTCTTTCCCACGAAATAAAGATAGTTCTCTGTGACATATTGCCCGTTTGAGTCATTGGCCTGTTGTACGAGGATTTGGCTTCAGTCCAAAACGTTGTTCTCAACATCAATACAGCACTTAGAAATGTTCGCAGCTGATAGTGAAACTTGCGTACACAGAATAGAATTCTAAGCCACGCCACATGTATGCAATATATAAACACAGAGATATACAGAGTCGGCGAGAAATATTTGATACTGTAGCAGAAACCGGGGGCTTATATAGAAAGATATCTTTTCAGTAAATATCTAGATAATATTAAAGCTCGGGATTCAGTTGATGGTAGGTCAGATAAAACCCCAGCCTATTCTAAACAATTGAACTTGGATGTTCATAACTACTCTAATCTACTTAATTATTCCCTCATTTCAGCCAGTGTCTACTGCTGGAGATAGGCCACCCGAAATACTTCTATGATGACCGGTCGTCAACGGCAAAACCATTTTCTAGGTGAAGTAACAAATCGGTTTGAAATATGCTTAAACGCATGCAAATGTAAAGTTCATTAAATATGTATGGAGGCCACGAGCCCTGTAACTCCGCGATGACGTCATCGACGGGTTAACGAACTTCTTCTGTACCGTTGACAAAATAGTAACTTTATGAAACGGTAATTTAGATCTTTCGAAAAGTAAGACTTTTGGACGAACGACAAGTATGTTTCGTTATTGTAGGTGTCGTTATTCTGTCAGAATTATTTAATCTGTGCGTTGTATAGTATAGGTTTGAATGCCGTGAATTTGGAAATGAATAATTTTCAACCATACATAATTAACCCTGTAAAGATTATGTTAACATTTACAATTATAACAACATATCCAATTTTCTGACGTCATTTATGTAATTTCTCAGTGCATATCTATAATTGAACTATGTTTTTTTTATATTATTTCTTTGTTCTGCCGACCGTACTGTCTAGGTTCTAATAGATGGGGTTATATGTTCACTTCGCGACACCCGCGGGCGATCTAAGGCCTTACAGGCTTTCTTGACGCCTTTAGAGACTACACTGGTAAGTTTGCATAACTGAGAGAGAAAAAAAACAGACAAACGGATTGTTTATCTTATAAAGCGTATTTCTAAGTAATATTGATATATTTTTAAAACTAACAACTTTTTAATAATGGTTATATAAGCGAGCAACATGGACAAATAAAGAAAGAGAAATACATATACTGCACACAAAAATATATAAACCTTATAAAAGTGAAATTCCGTTTCCCCCTCGTGGGGCATGTGGCGAACACATTTTTGTGTCCGTAGGCAAGTAGGTCAATGCCCATTAAACTCCCTGTAGTCCCTGTCAATGCCCCTATAAGTTTTCCGGGATTCGAAACCCGGACCTTTATATAAAACTTAAACTTTTAAAATATAAATGTTAAAAATACAATTTAAGATACATCAAATATCAGGAAATATACAAATCGTAACAATATTATAATAATTGTTCGTGTTGCAAATTGGTTCTACCATATCAGATCTTAAGTGGACTTGAAGCTGATTTTCAGTAAAATCGTAGACTGAATATACTGAGTACAGCAGTGGCATGCGTAAGTAAGAAATATAAAGAAAAATCTATTATTTCTTTCGTACATTCGTATTTCGTATTTTCTTTAATCTATATGCACTTTTGGAATAATTGTACTACATCGCCTCTCTATTAATGTATTATTACGTTTATTTTTCGTACATTGTTAAAATAAAATTAGAATACAGCATTCTGATACACATAATGTTTCTTACTTTGAATATAAACAAATCGAAACTTTATTTAGTGTATAGCTATCAATCTGCATAAATAGCTTTGTTTATTTATTTTTGATTAGTTTTCTTCAAAATAGAATCCGAGGGTAGTTGAGATTTCTTGAGTCCACTGCCAAACAAAGCCAACGCGCGCCGTCACTTTTCGATGCCGCTCTGCGAGGTAGTTGTGCACAGTTTTTCAATTATGTATGTATGACTGCCCATTAAGAATAAAAGTTTTAACGTCAGTACGTTAGAGATTACGTGTTTTGTTATAATAGTTTCCGAGAGTTCAGTGCATTCTTAAAAGTAATGATTATTTGTTAAATCAGTGTACTATGTGGTGACGTGATTTTTGACCCAATTTTCAATTTCGATACAGACTGACACGCCATAATAATAGTGTATTTAATTCAGGAGTTAACCAGAGGACTGGGGGTATGTTCTTTGAGTTTTAAACCTAGTTGGCCGCATGCTTATTGAATAAAAAGGGTGTTTTAGCCATTTTCTGTCTTTGTATCTTGTTGTTTCTGTCAGTATAAAACTAGTACATATGTGTGTTAAGTAAGCGAGTGTCCACACTGAAGGCATGAGAGGCCTATGTCCAGAAGAAGACAGTAGGCACATCCGTCGTTAACCCCTCCGAAGCTTTAGATCCATTTAAGCCCGGTGTTTTCATTAAATTAATTACTTTGCCACAAAGATACCTTATCGTCAAATTGCCTTGATATCTTTGAGTGCTTGTTATCATGACAAGGCCCTACTTATTGTCCGGGTATTTACTTGCTGCGATAGAATCACTCGAAAAACCACAATCGATACATGCATATAATATTCTCTTTGTATCTGAATGGGTTGGTATTTGTTGATATTGCTATTGACCACAAACTATAAAAGAAAAACAATCTTTCCTCTAGTTAAGGCACATTTTTGTATCCGTTTTGAAATGGTAAAAATATCGTGTTATTTAGTAAACTTAAAAACCTAAATTCAAAAAAATTTAATCTAGCAAAGATTTCCTCGAACTCAATTTCAACAATGTAAAAAATAAAATAAGTTAAGGAAAGAAATAATATAGCACTTAAACGATATATAATTCTTTAAAGAATGCGTGAAACTGTGGAACTTATAGAACCAGTATAAAACGGTATGTTTACCGTATATAGAAAATCATGTGTATGCCTGAACCTGTCCAGAAAATAGTAAATTTATATGGACAAGCATTTTACAAACTGATAAGCAACTATCGACAGATCCTGAGAAAGTTAAACTGTGTTAAGTACTCTTCAAAGCTTATCAATTTAAATCAGAATGACGGTTATCTATATAATATCTTGACGATAAACAAACAATTCAATAGAAATTGCATTATCGATAAGGAAAAATAAAAGGATAAAATATAAATAATACTTTATTTTGTTAGAACATGCATGACATTTATTATCGATGGACCAAAAATAAATAAATTTGTCTAAAAACACAAAAATGTATATTTGTAGATATTTCAATCCATGTACTATTTGTTGGATTAAATATAAGAAAGATTTAGGCGCGTAAAATTTCTTAGAGAGTAAAATAGTCACGCAAACTAACTATACATTTGTACAAATAAATAATAGTAAAACGAAATGTAACCGTCCGTTAGTAAGGATAACAGTGTTTCATAAGAACCATCGCAATTATACGCTTAGAAATCTGTACAAATTGCCTTTTTGATTGTACGTAAAATTATTTGAAACGGCTAAGCCGGTTTTGATAGTTTTAAATCTGGTGTAAGGCGCTAAGTTATGTACTTAGTTCTTTGTTACAGTAATTTAGAGAGTAGATTGTACGCTGCGAGCGAAAATATTAATGGCGATAATAGAACCGACGCCCCAGACGTCTGGCAATCTTGTTTGCTGTGTCCAACTCTAAACCACTGCGCGGCTTTGATGTCTGCGTTCTGTTCAATCGCTTTGTTCACGTTTGTAGTTTGTTGTGCAGAGAAAGCGTTCGCTCTTCCCAGCTGCCAGGCCCAAACTGGAAGAAGGTTATTAATAACACAATTATATAATGGTAGCTTGTCATAGCTTTTGTCATTTTTTCATCTTTACATACCTTTTTTATGTGTGGCATTTGCCCAACAGCTGTATAGAAGGGCGAATCCGTCGTAGTCAGTGTCTAATACTAACGTGTCTAATGCTTGGTCTGCAAAAAAAAACAAATAATTCAGTAACTCACTTTGAAAGTAAACAGCGCTCCGTGCTGTTCTTTTGAACGATGTGGATACCGAGATATCAAGTACTACCTATGTCGAAAATCTTTTCAATCTAAAACCCGTTTCTAACTAATTTTAATTCCTCAAAACTGAGTAGATCTACTAGTAATACTGTCTATAGTTTATGTGTGTACAATTTAAATATAACGTTTTATACGGTTTAAAGCGCAAAAGAGAGTTGATGAGTTACATTTTGCATTTACTTTTAATTTAATTATTAGTAATTCCACTGATTACATTTCTAAATAAAAATTGCCGCCATCTTTTAAGTTAATAATACTTAAGTTGAGCTATGAATCAAAGTGAAATAAAGATACCTAATCAAATCAATCATAATTAAGATAAGAAGTTATTGGAAATGAACGTTTAAAAAAGATACATTTAATCATTTCCTTCCTTAATTGATGTTTTCAACGAACATATAAAAGGATGACATCAGATTTCGTATTATCAGCACTTATCTAATATTTTCACGAAAGTGTTTAGATAACGCTAAGTAAGACGAATTGTTAGAGATTTATCTGGCATTAGTTGATTTTTATGACAAAGTGAGACGAACAAATTGGCTTAATGGAAGTTGAAACATAGCTGTATATAATCTGGATAAGATGCACTGTCGTCCTTTCCTACTGCGGTTACTCAAAAGTACAGACTGATATCGAAAAACATCACTTTTTAATTGTGGTCGTTATATTCTTAGAATCAATATCCAGGTTTACACATGATATGTTTCTGAAAATCTGATTGATTCTAACATGGTGGTTAGACTCGACCGATGATTATTGACCATAAATGGCTACTCATAGAGCAAAAGCCCGTCGTTATTCAAGATAAGATAATAGCGTTAAAAGTATTTTAATCGTTATTGCTATAAAACAATGCTTATTATGTTCAGGTTTTAATATTTTTTTACTTTTAATTATATAAACTCATGAATACTAGAATATTCTGGGCTATATTAAAATAGGAACTTTTCGAGACTTTTAGCAGAATACTATGTAATGTAAGATCTATTTTAAGGATATTTTAAACAGGACTATATAAATAAAGACTGTCTGTAGTTTACGCGAGTAGTAAACACGTAAAGGAAACACTTTTAACGGTTCAAAACGAAATGTATTAGTGGCAACGACTGGTGCAAAGCACGTTTCGCATACGTCGGGGTGTAGAGAAAATAAATTGTAAATAAGTTTTTCTCTTTCGATTTATCCAAATACAAACGGAAAAAAAACGAATGCAGCCAAAGTTAATGAAAATGTTCCACACTATAGATATCAGTCAAGTGTTTGCTTAGTATAATCTAGTTTATCTGATCTGAATCCAACCTATTTTCCATGGACTTGTCAAAAGTGTTATTAGAACAAGAAGATTGATAGATTCGATTTTTTATAATTGTGTCTGTATTTTACTTTATTTCAAAACTAATTTGCGTAAACAACGAACGTTTTTAAGCCCTAAACCGACGGGACGTGGGTTCGATCCTACCAGGGTGCAACTTTTCTGAAACCTGTTCTACTGGAAATCCGGATATTAAATGGACGTAAGGAATATCAAAATACCGTCCGAGTCACGAGCCACCGTCGAAAAGCTTAAAGGTTAATCGCGTTTGGATTTGAGTTTATGAATTTACGAATATACAAAGCCAAAGTAGGTTGACAGTGTATCTAATTAAATGTTATGTAGATGGAGTATTTCACTTGCCATCAAGTAAATCTTATGCTTGTTTCTTTTCCTCTACCATAAAAGAACAATGGTTATTTTTATTACCATTTTTAGTGCATCGTGCATCTCCTACCCTCTTTTCACTTGTCGCTAAAATTCATAAAACAATTATTACCTGGATAAGTGAAGACTAGAACTTTTCCCGTTCCAGGGGTGACTGTTGCGTTTCGCCAGGTCTCCGTTTTGTTGAACACCTGCCTCGAGTTATACGTTGCACTGACGAGGAGATTATTTTCCACTACTGGAGAAAAGGTGGACGTCACGCAGACCCCATTTTCTTCATTAGCAATTCTGGCTATTTGGAACCACTGCCCGCTGAACTGAAAATGATGAGATTTATTATTTTTTTGGGATTCTATACCGGAGAAGCACACTTTATTTGACTGCCATTTTTGACATCGATTTCTCTAAAAATAATCTAATACAGATTTAAGTACATATATCAAAACACAGCTCACTCCGTTGTTGTTGAGGATGATGTTGGTGTTTTCGGGCTCTTTTCTATGGCAAACATTTATATTCTCTGCATCTTATGACTATTAACGTGACATATTTTTACTTATTAAAACTATTTGATTCTAGTTTGATGAATTATTTTATTTTGTCTGTTGATGAACAGGACAACAACTGTATATAATATTTTGTTCTTATTTCACCAATTATGATAAAATTATGACTTTTCACTTTACGATTTATTAAGATAGGTTAAGGTTATATTACAATCTTACAGGTTTCATAATATAATCCCTTGTAATATTAATACAATTGTAATTTAACAATGAAAGACAAACAAAATTGTCCTACAATCTATAACATATTCTACACTACTTGACCAATCTCCGCCTCTGTAGCTAAGTGGTTAAACGTGTTGCCTAGCATTGCGTTAAGCGCGAGAGGTCCTAAGTTCGAATTCCGGGGAAACAGTAAATTGTTTCGGTCGGGCAGGGCACAGAAGTCTCATCAACTACCGATCAGTGAAACGGACACAGATGTGTGTTCGCCCTATGCCCCACGAAACGGGATTTCACATACTTTTTGACCAATCTTAAAAATAATTAATATAGTTTTTAGTCAGTTTTTCTAGGGATTATTACGAAATAAAACAACAAAACAATATAGTCTTACAACAAGCTGAATGGCTATCGAACGGTTTTGTTTACGAATTTTCTATTTCAAATTTATGACAAAAATACTATAAAACACACCTGGGTTGCATTAAAATTTTCCACTGCATTTACTGTGGCTAAAGAACAAGCTCCTTCCAACTCCAACTGTGCCCTTACACTGGCAAGAAACGCGATAAAAATTAGCCTGTACATTTTGCAGCGTCGGAGTAACTGATGACACCCGCCTAGTGTCCTTTAATAAATACTATCTTCTATCTATCTTATCAGTCTGATAATAAAACCAATAATGCTTCAGCCTGTGGTTTAGCAATGCTTTGCAATATTGTCGATGACGTAGGCTCCTAAAAGTGTCTTTCAGTACTTCTCTTTCAGTACAGTCTAATGGTAACAATGTATGGCTAACAATCAACGGGTCGTCGGTTTAATAATGTAGTAAATGGGTGCTAGCGATATCGCAAATTTCGTACAGATAAGTAACTAATCATCGTCGACAGATGAAAGATTATTGAAGTTAAATCGCTTCGTTAAATCGTCTCAATCTATCTATGTATTTCAGAATAATCAGAGTCAAAATATTTACCTGTTACGACTGGGGTATATTTACTTCCATCAAGTGTACGCCATGCGTTGCTGTTTTTTAGTCACAAAAAAAAGAATTAAACATCGCCTCAGTGCTTACTAATTTTCAAGGAACACCCATTCAAGGATCTAATAGTTACAGAGGTAGGATAGAAATGTACAAAAATTTAATCTCAATACTATGCTGTAATTTGATAACGATTTCTTAGAATTAAACTTTAGTACATACCAATTTTCATAGCCACGTGAATGTTTCTTTTTGTTTGTGTCGATTGTTTTAAGTAACCCTTACTTAATATTACTTTCATGATATTTTTATTTTTGACTACACCTCCGTGGCAATACTTAAATTAAAAGTGAAAATTAATTACTGTGTGATCAAGTGCAAGTCAATGCTCATGCGCATACCCAGATTACCATTTGTTCTCGAGTCCGTTTTGATATGCAAATTGCACTGAATTACTTAAAAGTTTTGCTGCTGTCACGGTATACACTATGATCGACTTTATATTAGTGATTAGGGTTTTTTTTTTATAATGATTTGCATAATTAGCTGCCAAGAACTACCAAGACAGTTTCTAAAGAGATAATGATCAATACAAGCGATATGGAACTTGTCATATATGTTTATTTTGGCATAAGATTACACCATAAAAGTTGGTGCACAAATACTCTTGTACTTTTTGATTCCCAAAACAATCAAGAAATGCCAAATAATATTACCATATTCGCATCAGTTCATGGCTTTTAAATAATCATACTTACTTAGAAACGGGTTTAGATAGCAGAATACCCATATCTATTTTTATAGAGGACATGCAATCCTTAGTGTAGTACTAAAGATAGTGCATGTATCGAATCATCAGCAAAAGCAATCTCGAAAAGTACAATCAATATAGATAACACCCATGACATATGGTACGTTCCACACACGCTTATAATAGTGGCATCGCTTGTTTTTGAAGATATGATTTGTTCATCAATCATTCGTCATATATGATTCATAGGCAAGTTTTCAAATAAAACACATACGGTTTGAAACGCGAAATATATTAGTAAACTTATGTTAAATGATGAAGATGAAGGATTAATCTAACCTCATGGCAAAATCTACTACGCTAGCGCCATCTGTAACCGAATTTTGATTTAATTAATCGTAGACTAGTTGCGTAAACTGCACTACTAACCAAAGTGCCTCACTACAGAAAATAACTTAATTATATTTAAAGTGAGAAAAGACACGAACGTGCATGTTTTTTACCTATATTAAGGAAGAAGGTTTAAACCTCCGATCCATAGAAGATCAGATTAAAGTGCGTGAATGATAAAATATTACTTTCCTCAATTATATGATAAGAATTTACTTTCCTATCAGTACATACAATATCAACGGTAAAACATTAATTACTAACAATAATTTTAGGCGCTGCCCAAAATCAGGTCGAGTATACAAGAGACCTGCAAACTAAGCACCGTTCATACTCCACTCGAATTTCCCATTTACATTTTGCTTGAACTTCTATGATTTATGTATTGTCTTTCTAAGATTGAATCGTGGGATTGCATAACTTACTATGCATTGTATGAGGGGTTCGTACTGAGTTCTGTCGCGTATTGAAACAGCTTTTTAATATTGAAAGTGCGAAAGTTTGTGAGAATTGAACTGTGTTTGTTATTTTTTGAAGTGTACTTCTATAGTGGTTTTATGCGCTTTTTATTGGGTGAAATTTTAAACTAGCACTACTATTTTACACTCGAGAGGACACAATGACTAATAAACAATTCGTTATACGGGAAGTGTGGCTACAATAGCGCAAATAAATAAATATTGTACTTGCTAATTGATAATTAAAGCAACCTATTTTAACCAGTTTAAAAGACTACGTCTATATTAAAGATTTTATTTTAACAGATCAAAACGTGATATATTTTAGGTAACTTATTTACATTTTATGTTAACTACGACTGGACTTTACGGATTTTTTTTATGATAGAGGAGGGTAGACAAACACTTAACTAAATGTCAAATATCTAAGCCACAAAACATTTATGCAAGATGCGCTGTCACCTCTTTATATCGCTTTGGATATTCTGGTTTCGGATGCTTTAAAGCAGCCGTGGCCACGAGGTGACCGTTCAGTTCCAGGAAAACTTCAACTCGCTTCTTACACGAAAATAATTGAAAGATAGCATATAATAAGACTTAATAGTATTATTTATTAGAATTCAAACCAAAATTAAACGGTATTAAAGAAAGTTTAAGTTTTGTAGCTCATTAGTTCCAAATAGACCACTGTGAAGGATTTATTTGTATTCAGAAAATTGATAATAACACCATTTTGCTCGCAAGAAGTAAAGCTTTCGACCGATCCCTTGTTACATTTTGTTCCCAAACAATGAATGCTGTTAAACTCCGAAACTAAGCTAAGTGAAGGTAAGCCGATTAACACTTCGAGCTTTGATATCTCCATAACTTCATAGTCTATAATAACAGACGGAGTATTAGAATAACATCACTACTGAAGATGCTGTATTTTTAACTCTGGAACAGTCTTCAAAGTAAACTTTTTCCACATGCTCGTTGGAATTGCTACCGGGTCCTACATATTTTGAATAAATTTATATTTTTTCTGAAACTCGTTGGAATATCGAAATTCCGTTCGAATCACGTGCACGTCCTTAGATAAAAATTGATCGCGTTTCGGCATCAGTCTGTAGAATCCCCAATATTCACAGCCAAAATAGGGCAACAGCACATTATAATTAATAAACTCTAATTGACCTCATTAACATAAAAAATACAAACTTACAATTTGTTTTCACTAGATACAATGGACAATCATTGCATTTGAATAAAAATAAAAGTGATTAAATATTAAAAAAGTCGCTTACAAGTCCTACTTCGCGTCTCCATGACTAAATAGAGAAATGTGTCGCGTTGTGTGTTCGTAGGTTCAAATCCCACATACAGAGGATTGATTGAAGCGAATTCTCTTGTCGAATATATTTCTTTAATTCGTAAATTAGGCACATGATCTAAAAAGGTTAATTATTTAGGCAAACTTAATTACCCGAAAAAACCGCTTTTACTTTTTTCAAACTCTGTAATTTAGTATTACTCTCTTTTTATTTATGTTTATTATACCGAAACTGATTCAATGTAATCTACAAATGATTTATCCATAAATCAAAAAATAATTAAACCCAACAACGGAACCTTACTTTAAACAAAAGAATGTGTTAATTTATTGTTTTCCTCAATTCTAGTAACTATCATAATATACGACATAAGTCAAATTATAGCTAACTATCGCAACGATTAGATTTGAAAACGGATCAATATTCTGATAGATAAATTATTTTTATAATTGCGTTTAACTTTTCGCAACTAACTCGCTTCGATTTCCCGCATATTGTTTTAGTTTAACAGAGAGTCACTTGCTGACGTGGAGATAAAATTGGTCACTGATATAGCAGACATGCATCATTCAGAAGAAACTATGAGTTCTCCTCCTGTGCAATTCTCTGCAATTTTTCTGCTTTACGATATTTTATCAAAACAACAGTTAAATAAGACTAAAGCGTTTTTTTTAAACGCAATTGAAATAAAGTTTCCCATCTATATGAGTAACACAAAAGTTAAAACCCACCTACAGTTATTTAAATATGAATGCCAAAAGCCTAACGTGTTTGTGAAAATTAAACGCTTTGATAACTGAAACATACACAAAACACAATGAAAGCTCAAAAGATCCCGCGGGATTATAAATAATAGAAACAAAAGTCAGATTCGGGAACATTATGATCCTATTTCCGTTCTCCAGGGATATTGTGCTTGAATTCCGGGATATTTGAGGTAATCAATACATTAAATTAAGGCCGTGCCAAAGCTTTGTTCTAATAAACTTGTTTTTACAACTTTTTTCAAGTTAATATTTTTTTATGTAACCACCTTCAATTTTCATAAACTTGAAATGCTGAGCTAATTATGAAAAATTATTATATATCTATCAGAACCCCCGTGACCACGGCTCTTACTAAGCATCTGAAAACTCGGGCCGTTGTTAAAATAATTTTCAAATAAGTCTAACAAAAATATATCGTTTTTAAGCCATTAAAGTGTTTTACTTAAAATTTTATTTAAAGCGCAGATTTTGCGCATTTCAGTGCAGAAAACCTTAAATCGTAGTTCATGACTTGACATGACTTTCTATACAAACTTATCTGTGATTGCCGATTAAGTACTTAGAGAACTTCAATAGCTTAATTCGTGTGAATTTGATATCCGATAATGTATTATAACAAACTTTATCTCAGCTTCAGTTTTAATGCGAAATTCGTTCTTGGGCAAACTTTTTGTATGGTGCAAGTTATATATTTTGAGCGGTTAGGGACAGAACATTCATTTCAACGTTTCTAGCACTACAAATCGCTGTGGTTTTAAGAATTGTTCAAAGTAAAGTACAAACAAATAAACAAAAAGTTGTGTTTATCTCTCAAATCGATGGTTTTGGCAAGTTCTGTTTAGCTTTTAAAACATTAATAAAAAGAAAATGGTGGTATGGATCAATTAAAAACATGGATTTACTAAAAAAACTATGTCATTATTTTAC